TTATTTTAAAATAATATATTAAAACAAGTCAAACATATATACAAATGCTCATTAAACTGTTGATTATCACAGTTATATCCAAAGCTTTAAATATTCGTCTCTTCTCGTCAAATTCCACACGAGCTGGTTCAGTTACTTTATAACACAATTGACAAGATGAATTATTCCTTTCTGTTCTGTTATTACAATACAATTGAGTATAATTTCACTTACGAAATCGCCACTATATGTCTTTATGGCTATACTCACAATCACTCAGTCTAGATCTATCTATCTAACTTTGTATATCTATATAGAGCTACATCTTGTATGTGTATTTATAGACTGTCAGAGGCCTAGAACATTCAATACACTACATGATATTATGATGCAATACTACTCTATTGAAAAAATAAGAAAAACTTCGAAGTTTTAGTAACATGACACAAGAATACAAGCACCAATTCACAACAATTGAATTACATGATGTATGATTCATATACAGTTATGTAAACAAACCTGTGATAAACTATCGTTTCTGAAAATAACTCAATTTAACACTAGTGCTAACCTTAAACCATCTAAATCATAATATTCATATTAAACTTAGTCATGTATATCTAACAACCTTAGCCTAAGACAGGGTTCAAAGCCATTTTATGACTATTTACAATCTGTTCACAAGGTCTTAAATAAATGCAAAATATCTGCATTAATATGTTTAAAAAATATTTATGAACATAGATGAATAAAAATGTTTGTTTAGTTTTGAAAAGGTAATACCAATCAGTTTTCAGCTGACACAGTACCAATTGTATGGCAAGAACCTACATGTACGTTATAGGAACTGTTCAATTTTGGAGCTTTTAGCTTTTTGAGGGAACCTGTTATGAGAGAATGAGGTGACATATGTATGGTGGATGCTGTTCACAAGAAGATCCATGGCAGTTTGGTGGAGGAACCCAACATCTCATTGCAATCCTACAGACTTTTGGGGCAGTCAGGTAGGAGCCTTCTATGTTGATAAGACATATTGCCAGTACAATGAGACTATATATGGAGCTGATATTGATGCAGAATGTAGTTATGATATCTATTCTTTTGTGTTATAACATTCTGCTGTTGACCTTACCAAAAGATTACATTTAACAGGATAAGCATGTTTTACAACTTTAGAAGATGAGGGTTTCCTTGAACACTGATGGTGTCTCAAGAACACAGCAGTAGAAATGCTGTCAGCAGGTACTTACAATGTGATTATGAAATAAAACAGGTTGACTCTCCAGTGTATAAAGGGATAGCAAAATGATCTGGATCATTTCCTAAAATGTTTCAGGCAGGTTGTCTCCTTGAATGGTTGGACACAGAAACAGACAATTCAACATTCGAAAGGTTGACTGCTTGTTGTCCCGTAGCAGTTTGAGGAGAAATTTGATGACTAGGATAAAGTTATTTTTGAGTCGCATCTTAGATTCTGTCCTATAGGGAACTGAAAGACTCGTGAGGTCAAGTTCAAGGGTAATAGGCCTCTTATATGTAAGCAGTTTAGAGAGAGTGCAAGGAATGGATTTCTGAGCATGTAACCCACTGAATATAATAAAGATTTCACCAGTAAGTTCATATAAGGGCTTCTGAGCAAACCACATAGGTCTCAGAGTTATTCTCTCTCTTTGAATGAGGCTGCTTCCATAGTGACAAGTTTGTTACATCGAACTGATTGTTGGAGTATAAGTATAAGGTGGCTGATTCATCAACATAGCAACTTCAAGGGCCCATTGAGAGCTTCCCATTTACACCACAATTGCAGTAGGATTTTCCCTCAAGGAGAAGCTTAGAGTGAGAGGAATAGCCCTTGTTTTAATTGGGACTTAACAAGTCACTGGGTTTGGGTATTGTCTTTATCTTGTCAGAAGATGCAAACATAAGACATATTCTTTTCTGCACAATACTTGGTATATTCCTGTAATGATACATAAACATACAGCTGAGTTACCATTCACAAGACAAAAGACTTTTTGTTTATTAAATTTTCTCTTTTTTTGTCCAAGTTTAGGTTTCATGACATCTTATGGGTCATCTGAGGAGGTGATTAATGGAAACTAAGACTGTTGTAATTAATTTGGCTAGTTAAATCTAATTTTAAATTTGACCCTAGGAAAGCCCTGAGATTAAGAGGGGGGGAGTGTAGTAGTTGAAGGTTAGTTTAGAATGACTTAGAAGAAGGATATATTTCAGTTAGTTTTATGGTAAATTTAATATAAATTATCAAATAAAGATTATGCTTACCACTAAATTATTTAATATTTATTGTGGGAGGTAGAAAAACGTTTTCATTCATTCTATTAATTAAAGCATAAAATTAAATTAACAAGGTTTTTGATTAATTATTTTGAACCCTACAGGAAGGTTACAAAAGTGATATTGGCTGTCAGGATATTATACAGAAGAGTGATGGAATTCAAGTCCTTATGCACAGGTGGCGTTTTCCTTCACTGTCTCTTCATGGTAAGTCTCACAATACCATTCTTCTTCCCATGATTTTGTATTTATCAGAACACAAAAAGTGTTTAACTAACTACCTGTCCATTTTGTTAATAGTGTAGAAATTAATTAATGTAGTGATGTGAAGACAGTTTAACAAAATTATTACCATATTAGGTATTGAAGGTGCATTCAGTGGACCTGGAGCTAAGACTGTGATACCACGAAAAGTAGTGGGAAAGTTTTCAATTCGAATTGTACCTAACCAGATTCCAGAGAAAGTAGAGAAATGTGTTGTTGATTACTTGAATAAGAAGTTTCAAGAACGTGGAAGTCCTAACAAAATGAAGTAAGCTGGATCCTGTTTTACCCTTACTGTGCTTTATAATTTTATATAATGGTGTACAAATTATTACAGTGAATTTTTTGTTTTAGATGAATAGAAGAAAAAATTTTTAGAAATACAAGTAGTTAAGCTAGGCTTTCAATATGAATTGGAACCACAGCTTTGAATAACATCTATAAATGCAATAAGGTTTAAACAAATGTGTAATTTTCCTTTAGAATATTATTTTTTCTACACTAAATTAACTTGAGGTGTGGAACCAAACAACCATGAAATCCCAAAATATGAGCTTGCTTTTCATAATTGCATGTTACAAGTTGTACGCAGTTCCCCTATGATGAACCAGCTTACTTCAGTGAATATGAATCAACAACTTACAGCTTCATAATTTTATTAAATAATCTTAAAATTAAATATTATACTGTCCTAGCATGCTTATACTTTATTGGTTTCACAAAAATCAAAGTCTATACTTCAACAACCAATGTTACACACTATTATGAAAATGTTGTGGAACTCAAACATGCAAAACAAAGAAGATGATAAAATACCAAATTATTAGTCCAGTGTTGTTGGATCCATGATACATGTTTCCAGTGGATGAATTGCAGGTGTTGAAGTCCATTGGCTGTAGTGTTTATATGAATCCACAAGTACATATTGAAGAGATGGCAGTAATGATAATTTCAAAGGCTAGATTATTTGCTCTGTTATCAATCTTTTGTATTTTAGGATGAAATTAAAACTTGTATTCACTAATGATGGTGATCAGTGTCTAGTTAAATGTTTGGCATTCCAGCATTATATTAAGAGATCAGTGTAAGAAAAAATTTCATTTATTTTAAACAAAATTAGAAATTATACTGTTCAGAAGTGTTTTTACAGAATTGGACACTGCTAGATAGTAACTGTATTAATGTATGTATTTGTGATACATAAAATTCCTTTATCTATCAGGAATGCATTTGTATTTTTGCTCATTGTAGAGGATCTATTGTTTGCAGAATACTATTTATAAAAATTGAAGCAGAATACTGGAAAAGCTAGCTCATACTATTTGGAATGCTGCTACATTTATGCATATAAGAAAACACTGCAGGCTTAGGAAAAATGCTTTCAAAAGAATGAATCAATGCACAAAATTGTGTATGTTTTATATCAATACACCTTTCACATGAACTCTTTACACAGTGTAAATAATGGTTAACATTTTAATTAGGTTTTTAATAAATACTAGTGGCAACTATAAGTA